ATTTTATTTTAAAGAAAAGTGCTGCAGAACCGCATCGTTTGCTCGTAGATGTTTACGGTGAGCATGCTCCATCGAAAACCAGTTGTAAAGAATGGTTTCGGCAATTCAACAGTGGTGATTTTGATGTGCGTGACAAAGAACGCGAAGGTACACCGAAAAAATTTGAAGAATTGCAAGCATTACTCGAAGAAGATTCATGTTTATCGCTCGATAGGTTGTCAAAAGAGTTAAATGTTGATAGATTCACTGTTGGAAAACGTCTACACGCAATGGGAATGGTGCAAAAAGAAGGAAATTGGGTGCCATACAAATTGAAAGAGAGAGACATGGAAAAACGTTTGGTCATCTGCGAGATGCTTCGTCAACGACAACAAAGGAAGGGTTTTCTACATCGTATCGTAATTGGCGATAAAAAATGGATCTACTACGATAACCCTAAACGCTTGAAAGAATGGGTGATGCCAGGTAAACCAGGTCCATGAACGCCAAAACGAAATATCCATGCTTCGAAAATTATGTTGTGCATCTGGTGGGATCAGAGAGGTGTTATATATTATGAACTGCTCAAACCGTCCGAAACCATCACTGGCGATCGTTATCGACTACAACTGATACGTTTAAACCAAGCTTTGAAAGAAAAACGACTGGAATGGGACAATAGGCACAACAAGCTGATTCTGTTACATGACGACGCTAGGCCACACGTTGCAAAACCGGTCAAGAAATATTTGGAAGGAGTAAAGTGGGAAATTCTGCCCCACCCGCCGTATTCACTGGACATTGCTCCTTCAGATTTCCATTTGTTCCGATCCATGCAGTCGGCCGTTTCTGGAAAACGATTAAATTCTTATGAAGATATCAAAAAATGGCTTGATGAATGGATCGCTTCAAAAGAACCAGATTTTTTTCATTCGAGGAATCCGTTTATTACTGGAAAAGTGAGAGAAAGTTGTCGCTTCCGAAGGAGCATATTTTGAATAAACTCACTTATAGATTTGTTTAAATAAACACATCTTTTTCTTTTCATAAAGGGCGGAAACTTATTCCCATACCCAATATTTTATGACTATCTTTCGCCAATGCACTATTACAATTTTGTACAAGCACATCAAAAAAAGTAGAGAATCTTCTTTTATACGTGGATCAATATATATCATTGCACAGCTCACAGTTGAATTGTGATGATGCCGAAAACGTGTTAATAAATTCTGGAAATACATTACAAGTTACATAATAACGTACGTACAAGATCGAATTATAAAGCACTAAACAATTAGATTTATGCAAGACATCAAGATTCGGTAATTGTTGAATTTAGTCTCCTCACCTCCTCGAAGTTGATAAAATTAGACTCATTCGACGCGTTTTTGCACTACATAAACAAAAAAAATGTGTCGCTTTGCCCCGTGAACCGAGTTATTAATTTTTATTAATAAAGTTGACAGATTAAGAAATCTGTTGCATTGATGGCATAGAAGTTTAAACAAATTTTCTGCTTTATAGACAAATATTTAACCAAGACAAATACTCCGCTGTAAAAATAAAAATTATATAGAAAATAATTTGTATTCTTAAAACAAAGAATGTGTCCTTAAAGACGGGAATTTGTGTAATTGAAGCAGAAAATACTTATTCTAGCTTCAGTTACATGTTCTCATGTCCTTCTATGTTATCGACGTGGCAGATTTCCTAACCTCAATAGTCATCAACTTTAACGGTTAATATCTCGATCCACGGGGTAAAGCGATACATTTTTTTTGCCAGATTCGTTCATTTCATGCAAAAATGTGTCGAGCAAGTCTAATTTGTGTAATTGCAGAAGGAGAAAATCACTTACGTGTTCCTCCATCGATGTGACGGATTTCCTAATCTAAACTACCTCACTTTAATTCCAAAAGTGTACACTAGTTCATCATCAGCCACAAAAACAGACATGTATGATGTGATCATGCATTGCCAGCGCCACATTTGCTCTTGCGCAAAAATTCCAAAAGGACATTACCTCCACCACTCCGTAGCGGTGACGACGACGTCGATGACGTTTCTTAATTTTTTCTTAATAAAAGTTTCAAATTCGTATTTTGCGTCGCAATATCTCCGCACGTAAAACACGTAGAGAAAAAAATAAAAACACTTTCTTTATATATCCCGAGCGGTTGCAATCGATTGAGCACACTTAGAACTTGGTCAGTTCAGCCCTTATTGAGATCCGATAATCTCGATCTGCCGCAACTTGCCGGCTCGCGTAAAGTAGCCACGGTAGTGTCGCTGCGCGTAGCTTAGTACCGAGACACTACCAGTGTCTCCAGATATTATCATCTGATAATGTTTTAAAACCCTATTACTTTTGTTTCAAACATTTTTTAGATAAATCAATATTTTTTGAAATATTAGCCGTTCTAGAACTTTTATCATGTATTATAACACTAAGTTTCTTCGAATTTACGACCTATACGCTCTTGTCTTTTTCCTTAATTTTACATCTTATGCTGTCAACTTTTACTGATATCAAGAATTTTCACTAATTTGTTGTACAAACCGAGATGGTCCTTTGTGAGAGTGGTGATGACTTTCAAATATATCTATTATAAATTTAGGTGGAACAAATTAATATGAGCCATGTTTTTATAATATTATTGCTTAGACCGATATCAATTTTGACCCCGAGATCTCTATTTCCTATAGAGATCTCAGAGTCAAAATTGATGTCGCGATCAATCAGTCTGAGCAATATCATAAAAATATAGCTCATATTAATTTATTCCACCTAAAGTCACGCGCCAAAACACAATGCGTTAGCATTACTCAAGATGTACCGCGTGATCGCACGATCGGATTTACACCTTTTCGAGGTGCTTCATTAAGAATCCGATCATGCGACCTCCACATGGTACACTTTGGGTAATGCTAAAGCCAGTGTTTCAAAAATGTCTTGACATCAGCTACAAGAATATTCAATGAAAGATATGAGTTCTTATTTAAAAAATTCAAGTCGATCTCAATATGACCTTTATGACGCTATCCAAGGTCAATCGCATATGGCTATGTAATGCATTATTTGATCCCCAACAACTTTTGTCTAAAACATTTTTCAAAATAACTACTTCCTCGTTTTTAAATGGGGTGTATGTATAGATAGTCTGAAACAACCTCGGTATAATGAATGTGTTAATTAATCAATTTCTATATCTTATTATTTGCTCGATCATTGACCGAAGAAACTTTAAATGTTGATACTTAAAAATTTACTTTACGGCAAAAAATTGTTTACACAATGTATATTACATATACCAGAGCTGGGATTTAGTTGCACATTTCGACTCGATTTCATTGGCGACGCCCACTGTGCCCCTCTTGCCGCGCATTGCCTAACAACGAATCGTCGGATGCTTGTAAACAACGCGCGTACTTCTTCATCTCAGGAGCGTTCTTACTATTAACTATACTATACCAATGGAACTGATGAATCTCGCTCAACTTAAATAATGAATTAAAACTTTCTTTTTAGAATAATTTTAAATTAATAATTGAAAAAATATTTTTATTATTAATATTAATAGTAATAATAATATAATATTATTATCATTAATATATGTGTATAGTATATTAATAATAAAAATAAGAGATTCATCAGTTCCATTCGTATAGTATAGTTAATAGTAGGAACGCTCCTGAGATGAAGCGGTACGCGCGTTGTTTACAAGCATCCGACGTTGATAGGCAATGCGCGGCAAGAGGGGAACAGTGGGAGTCGCCAATGAAATCGAGCCGAAATGTGCAACTAAATCCCAGCTCTGACATATACAATGTATATATAATATACCAGGTACGTAAATATGAAACCGGAATTTTTTAATAGAAAATACACGTTTATTGCATGAAAATGATAAAAAATATTTTATTCGAAGTATTGCCCATCGCTAGCTATACATTTTTCCCACCTGTCTGACAATTTGTGGATGCCACGCCAAAAAAATTGTTGCTCTTTTGAGCCAAACCAGTCATCTAGCCATTCGCACATCTTCGTAAGAAGTGAAGCGCTGCTGAGCAAGTGCGTGTCCCATCAACGCAAATAAGTAGTAATCGGACGGAGCCAAATCTGGTGAGTAAGCCGCATGCGAAAGTATTTCCCAACCAAACG